AACCCCATTCTCAAAAAACTCAAACTATCACCAAATCTGATTTTACAACATCATAACAATCTTTAAATACCACCATAGAGAACCCATCTAGACCTGGGAATTTTTCACAATCAAAAACTGCATCTCTAATTTTAATTTCAACAAAAGACCTTCCCATGCATCTAGCTTTATACTCATCAATCAAAACCCAATTTATACTCATCAATCAAAACACAGTTTAGACCATCAATCCTTGGCCTCATAACTCCCCCATCCAAATATAGAGTTGAACAAAAAGAAAAAAAAAAATCTTTAACAAATTGGTCATATGCATCCACAAACCCTCAGTTACCCACCTCCAATCTCTTGATGAACTTATTTCTCTTCTCATCAACAACCCTACCTTACGAAATTACTGGGAATTATTATGACCCTATTTTATCCATTTCATTTTAGCCTTTCAACCCCAAAAAAATTGTTCACTAAATACAAAGTATTCATTAAGACCATCCCTAAACTGAATTCCATCGAACTCCTCAATCTTTCTAATGATTTCATTCTCTATCCCATTCAGGTTTCCAAATATCTCCTTATTCCAAACCTTCAATTTTTCTTTAATCATTTTCAGTTTCCACAAACTTGAAACCCTCCCATCTACATCACCTACTCATACTCACCATTCTTCCAAAGACTTCTTAAATGATTGTTGTTCCAGCCACATTCTCAAACCTAAAAGCTGAATAACCCCACTTAAAAGGGCAACTTTTTAGCACCATGGGATAATGATCAAGGTTGTTAAAATCGGATCCTAAATAGAAATGGTGAGAGGGTGTCGTGGATCAGATTGCAGATTGAGGATCGTAAGATTCTATTTTCTATTAAAAATAAAATAAAAATACAAATTAGAATGATACATATTAAAAATAAGGTGAAAAATCATAAATCCAAAGTTCCTACCTATAATCCTACTACCATCCTACACGATCCTACTATAACACCGACCCTATAACGATTTGGATCATTTTGACAATTTAGGATCGTAAGATCCTACGATCCGGGTCACAATTTTGACAACCATGATAATGATCTGATATAGCTCTTGGAAGAACCTCCTATCTAATATTTGAAAACCTCACCTCCCATCCCAAAGAAGAAAAAAATATATCCAACCTACAACACACAAAATTAGAATGAATATTAGACCACATAAAACAAGCATTAGACAAAAGGGGATCAATCAGGTTACATTCCCTTATAAAAGCATCAAAATGCCTCATACCCCAAGATACCATAGTCCCAATAAGCTTTTTAGAGAGAAACCTTACCACATTAAAGTCCCCTACACACCAATTGAGGGAACATTACACAACCCAAATAACCAACCAACTCATCCCACCACTCTGCCCTTCTATTAGGTCCGTAAACCCCAATCAACCACCACTCACAATTATCAGGATTCCTAAACCTAATTGACAAAGAAAACTCCCCTTAAAACAATCTCACAATCACAAACAACACTCTCATCTCAAATAATCAAAATAGCGCTTGAAATACCACACAACGACAATAAAAGCCCATTCTCTAAACATAAAACCTCAAATACTTTTAATCAATTGGCTATCACACACGTCAAATTTGGAATCTCGAAGCAAAACTATATTTGATTGATGCTTATTAAGAAAATCTTTAATCACCCTCCTCTTTTTCCTTGATCTAAGACGTCTAACATTCCAACTTATACCTAGAAAACTTTTCGACTTCTGCAAAGAAATTAAGAACTTCATTGATCACACGCATTAAATTTTTTTGCACTACATGAAAGCCTCCACAACAATTTCCTTTCATAAGAAAACCAAAGTTTCAACGGTGGGGGGAGCCATAATGGTAACAGTGACTGACAATGAAGTGGTTGCAAGGTGTAATGGCTATAGCATAACAGTGGCAACAACTGAACCCATGATATTTTTATTCTTCACACAATTTCGAAAATAATTATCAATGCAACTGTATTTATTGCATAATCACATTTGGTGAGGCTTACATAGGCTTCGTTTGGAAAGCTGCTATTTTAGTAGGCTATTTTAGTTTTTGGCTATTTTAGTAGGCTAAAATTTTTGTGTTTGGGAAGATGATTGGATTTTTTTATGGTTGGATGTAATGTTTGTGAAAGAAAAAGTGAAATGATTATGGGTTTGATGTGATATTTTGTCTTATTAGCTATTTTAGCCTATTTTGTCTTTTTGTGAATTTTAGGCTAAATTAGGTTTTTTTTTTCTTCCCAAACACCCCCATAGTTTTTCATGGGTTTTGTTAGGATTTTAAGCATGATCTGATGTATATACTAAATTTTACACTAGTTTTAAGTTGTGATGAAAAATTTATGCATTTAATTTTATTTACTTTACTGATTGTACTTCACTGATTTTTTTTTTACTAAGTATACTAAGTTGAGAGATAATAGCCTAAGGTGGTTTGGTCATGTGCAATGAAAATTATAGATGCAACGATACGAGTGATATGATCACTATAAATGAAAATGTTAGGGAGGGAAGAAGACCTAAGATGACATGAAATGTGGTAGCAAAAAAGATATAAATTTATTTAATTTAACTGAATTTATATCCCTTGATTGAGCAAAATGGCAAATAGGATTCATGTAGCTGATCAAATGTAGGACAGAAGGTTTAGTTTGGTTTGATTGGTTTACTAGTGATTGTACTTATTGAAAACTTTCCCTTGTTATGAAAAAAACAAACAAACAAACAAATAAAATCATGAATTTAAGTTCAAAATGCAAAATCCCAACATAAACATTCAAGTTTCGTTCAACAAATTTAACCTAAAATTAAATAGATATAAATTAATAATCAATGAATCAATTTTGAAAGTAATAAAAGTTTGTCAATAAAAAAAAATGTAAAGAAAATTTGCCAATACAAAAATTTTAAAAAGGTAAGAAAAGTTCGAGATAAAAAAGAGAAATAGGCTTATGTAACCTTTATAACAACTCAAATTTTGTAGAACTTGAATATTGGTCAATCAATATAAGTAGATCTAAGATTTTTGCTTAAGTTTATGGGTCTTTTTTAAACATAAGTTCATAATACAAAATCCCAATATGCTAATGTAAAAGTACATAACATAAAATTCAAGTTTTGTTCAACAAATTTAACCTAAAATTAAATAGATATAAATTAATAATCAAGGAATCAAGTTCGAAGGTAATAAAACGTCAATAAAAATTTTATTTAAGAAAAAAAGTAAAGAAAAGTTGTCAATAAATAAAGAAGTAAAAAAAAAGAACTCAAGCTTTTCTAAGAACTTGAATTTTGTACAACTTCAATTTTGTACAACTTGAAGATTGGACAATCAATGCATGTAAATCCAACATTTTCACAAAAGTTTATGGGTCTTTCTTTTCTAAACATAGGTTCGTAATACAAAATCGCAACATGCTAATGTAAAAGTATATAACATGAAATTCAAATTTTGTTCAACAAATTTAACCTAAAATCAAATAGATGTCAGCTAATAATCAAATGAGAACGTAACAAAGGTTTGTCAATAAATAAATAAAAAATAATGAAAATTGGCAATTAAAAAAAGTAATAAAAGTTGGGGAACAAAACTTATATGCATGTAGATCTAAGATTTTCACATAAGTTTCTTTTCTATGATTTCAACAATTGGAAAAATAAAAAATTGAGAAAAAACGGACTTATATACAAAATCTATTGAAAATAAAAGCATAACAGTCGTAATGCTATTGAAATCATTCAATGCTCCTAGAGCAAATACCCTGTATGGACTAACACTAAGGAGCTTATTGCAGCTAGTGAGTATTCAATCTAAGACCTAGGGGGAGCACACCCCCAAACCCTATATGGGCTTATATATGATACTTGCGAAGAAAAAATAATTACGCAAATGACCATGATGATTTTTAAGGGAAAAGGCAAAGATCCTATCTGAAAGTTTGAAAATGAAGACATGACCAGAATACAATAATGTTTAGTTTTGAATGGGAGAAATGCATGAAGTGTTAGAAAGTGTTGTAAGTTGTTAGCGCAATGAACCAACTCTTCCATTATAGAAAGATGAGTTATAACTGCTAACTGCCAAACTTAATTGCAAACTGGCAAATGAAAACTTTGTTTCAGCTTGTCCTATATGCATTTGTTACAAGTATAGAAACAACTAGACAAAACCCTAAGGGCCTAAGGCCCTCAAGTGTGTGCTCTTTTTCCCTTTTTTTTTATGGGCTCAAGTGTGTGATCTAAGGTGCACAACATAAGGGTAGCTCCATAGCATCAGGTTAAGTTTCGATTGTCAAAAGCAGCATTTGTTGAAAAGCTATGGAGGAATAGTATCCTTCACATTGTAATCTTTATTCATGTCAGATTCTTATTAACATCAGGGGAAAAAACATGTAATATCAACAGACATTTCAGAGACATTTATATAAATCTGGGATGTCTGGAACTCTATTTTTCTTTTTTAATAATATTTGAATTAAAAAATTACGGCAAACACACAAAAAAACAATGTGGTATGGATCTGCTGGAAATATATATATATACATATATACAACATTATTAATAGAATTAAAAGCCAGGAAAAAAGGTTCAAAAATATTTAACAGCAAATAAAATCTTATCTTAAATTTAAAATGAGCAGTGACAACAAAAATTATCTGCTAACATAAAAAATAAAAATAGAAGACAGGAAATTGACAGGATCAAAATTAGTTTAGGGAAATTGCAAATCAGTGAAAGTTTCAAAAACAAAAACAAACAAACAAACAAAAAATCAAATTAGTGGTAAACTTTGTCAACTTTAATACTTAAAGGCATAAACGCTTTCGTAAATTTGTAAAATTTTATGAAAGATCCCACTGAATTGGAATTTCCCCAATTTATTTTACAACTACCAAAAATTCAATAGAAAACAAGCATAAAAACATAAATTTGAAAAACAAGTAAAAGGTGAATGAATAGTAGATGTGAAATAATCAATCATACCACATTTGTGAAATCGGGTGGTACGTGTGATGGTGGATAATACCCACAGAAAGAAGCAGCAGCGCCAGGAGCCCTAGAAGCAGATGAAGTCTGTCCAATTTGGGAGACGGCAGTGTCCAGAGAGGCTAACCAGCATGACTTAATCAGATTGTCGACCTTCTTCCTCGGCTGCTTGGCGAAGACCTTGCGATGGGAGACGGCGTCGCGGAGGCGAGTGAGGACGGCGGCATCCTTGACGGAAGCGTGGATGATGAAGTCGAGGAGCTGGTCCTTGCTGTAGGGTTCGAAAAGCTCCTGGATCTTCTTCTCCGAGTCGTCGTCGTTCTCAGCCTCCTTAGTCTCCTTTGGGGCTGATAGGGTTTTCTCCACCAGCTGTTTGTTCTTCTCGAAATTGTTATTCTCTGGTTGAGGATTCTTCACCATCTTTCGCCTCATCATCTTCTTCTTCTCCGTGTCGATTTTGTTATTCAGTGGTCGTTTTCTCACCATCTTTCGCTTCATCATCTTCTTCTTCTCCTTGTCGATTTTGTTAATCAGTGGTCGTTTTCTCACCAACTTTCGCTTCTTGTTCTTTGCCATGGCGGAGAGAAAGTAGAGTCCGATTGCATTGGCCATTTGGGGGAGAAGATAAGAGAAGAGAAGAGAAGAGAAGAGAAGAGGGAAGCAAAGCGACTCTCTCTCTGTCTCTCTCTCTCAGGAACCAACAAGAAATCCCTAATGAAAAAGAGTTTCATACGCATTGTTGACTTCTAATAAGTTGAATTCACAGTTTCACCGGAAAATAAAAAATAAAAAATAAATTATAGTTTTTAAAATTTTTATAAATATAAATTGAAAATTAAAAATAAAATAATTACCAAACAGGCTCTTATTATGCCGAAATTTACTCTCAATGTGCAATTAATTTTACAATTATGCTATAGACCCCTAGTGGGGGTCACCCCAGCACCCTACTAATATTTCATTGGCTAGTTTTTTTTTTTTTTTTCTTTTTTTTTTTTTTCTTCCAATCACCCACCCACAAGGGAGTGGGGGTGGGGTCTGGGGCATTTTTATTAATTTTATATTTTTTTTCAATTAACAACCATTATGGCTAGATTTCACATTTAAATTTTAAAATATACATTATCACAAAAAATTATTATGAAATTCCTTTTAAAATACTAATAAAATTTGATATTTTTAAGAATTGTTATCAAGCAAATGAGATATTTCATTGGATAGCCTATTGTTGGCACTATAAATTTGTAATTTTATTATTTATTATTTATATAATTGTAAGACGTATAGCATCTTCCTACTTATTTGGAAGTTATGAGAAATTATGAAATATGGAAAGATGATGGAAAATAAAGTGAAAAACATGGAGTATCAAATGAAAGTTAAATGAAGTTATGGAAGATTATGGAGGATGAAATGAAGGAGGTGGAAGAGTGGATAGTTTTAGGTAGTTTTTTTTTTACAAATTTTTGTCTATAAATAGTCATTCATTACTACATTATAAGGGATTCAAAACTCAAACTAAAGACAATTAATTTTTATTTTTCTTGTCATTTATATTTCCTGCACTTAATTTTCTGCACTTTATTTTATGTACTTCATTTTCAAAGTAGAGGAGTAGAGGTAAATTTTTTACACTTTATTTTATGCATTTCCTTTTCGAAGCATATGAGTAGAGGTAAATTAATGGTTAGTTTGATTGTTTACTCAATCACTCTAATTGTCCGCTCAATCAACTTTCTCCATCTCCCTCTTTCTTCTTTTAATTTTTCTTTTCTCTATACTTGGCAATTTTGAAATCCTCTTCATCAAGGCAAAAGAACTGTCAACACAATTGCTTGATAATTGACTTAAATTTAATCTGTAAAGATTTTTCAATCCTTGCTAGCATGTTCGCATTTATGATATTTTCCTTCGTAGGAAAAATAAGCCAACAATTTTCGGCACGCTCGGTGGAACATCAAGTGTAAGAAATGAATAATGAATTTGATTCGTCCATTCTAAATAGCCTAGATGAAATCTTTTTGGCGTAAATAAAAAATTTGGGATCTTCAATAAGAGATTCATTTTCTTGATGAAAAAAACTTTCAGCCTTTACAATATTATTTTGTAGAAGAAAAAAAAACATCATTTTGTTTGAGAAATTCATCAACTTTATATGAAAATTCGTCAATGGAATGATAAGTTGTTAATTCTCACTACCAAGTCTATAACTAAGGCTTTAATGGTCGGAATTGGTAAATTTTTTCCGAATTTTTCCATAGTTGAAAAAGGCAAAAGCAAAGAGTTGGTTTTATCAATGGTTCGAGGGGTCAAAAAACTCATTTTAAAAAAAATAATTTATGAAAATAACAAGGCTAAAAAGCATGTCGTTGAGCCAAGAATGTTAAAAATAATGTTCCATATAAGACTCAGGGGTTGAAAAACTCATTCTTAGAGAGTCAAATCATAGAAATAAGATGTCTATGAAGTATTTTCATAAGCCATTAATGGCTAAAATGGAACAGCCCATTAAGCCAAAAAATGATGAAACTCATATGGAGGATTTTCTTAAGCCATTAATGGCTAAAATGGAACAACCCAATAGACCAAGAAATGATTAAACTCACATAGAGGATTTCATAATCCATTAATGGATAAAATATAAAAACAACCCCATTTGTCAATGAATGGTGAAAGTTATTTGGCCAAAGAACATGTTCTCAAGCCAAACATGAGTAAGATTGATGAACAATTCAATGTTCATGAATCTTAATTTTTTGAAATTATTCAAAATGTTAAGTTGTTTGAAATTTTAAGGACATCTTGTATTATAGTTCTTAGTGTTCAAAATCATTTTTAGATTTGTGGTTCACATAAAAATTTATTTTTGATGAAATGGCTAATAAAACAATCTTCTTTAAGCATTGTTTTGATGAGTTTGATGTACTAAAGAACAACTTAGCCGCTTGAAATGTTGAACTTGGCTAGGAAAAGCCTACGTATTTAAATCAGTGGTTAAGAATGACTTATCTTTTTAAATTGATGACCAATTTTTTTTTAAAGGCACAAACTAATGACAATATGTGTGCTTCGGTCGTAGTTGAACAATGGCTTTTGCATTCAACTAACAAAATTGTGAACATTTGGTGACTTATATGTACACAATCAAAGCATCGAAGATACATTCGAAGCATCAAAAGTTGTTTCGAAGGTTGATTACTTCACCTTCGAAACTTTATAAAGCTTCAAATCATATCATGAAGTAAGATTACTTTGGAATAAATATGTACATGCATATATAAAATTGCCTAATTTTGGTTTGTCTCTTTGAAATTTAAAAGCATATTGTAAGATGAGAGAATGTTCTAGTGTGTAACAGCTACTTATTACATGATCATTATGTTAAATGGCCGAATATGTTGTTCGAACCACTTTGTTGGTGTTATAATGGTATTTTAAGCAAGTTTGTTTTGTTACTCATACCAAGCAAAAGAACTTTTTGTAAAATTCACAAAGTCAGTTTGTTTGGTATTTTATATTTCAATATGAGAAACCAAATTTTGGTTTGATCTTTAAGTATTTACCCAATTATTTGGTTTGAATTGTTGGAACAATCTTCTGTATAAATAAAATAAATTGAAACTAAATCAAACAAAATAAATAAATAACATACCAAATTTATTTATCGAACCGAATTAAAAATAAAAGACCAAGTTTAGTGTGTGACACTCTATCCTTAAGACAGATTCGCCCTGCTACGGTGCTTACGGTTGAGTGGCGTCTATCTCCCAGGATACAATGATCTTCACAAATTGTAGTAGCACTCCAAACAATTTGTTCGGCGAACCAAACCTGTGTTGTAACTCTCTGATAATTTAATCTAAATCTAATATATGAAGAATAAATGCGGCAGAGCAAAATCTGGACAAAAAAGGCCAAGAGCAGACTGATTTTCGGATCTTGAACAATGCTGGACAGTGCTGGTATATATAGAGCCGAACAAGTGCAAAATTTTGAACTGAACAAGTGTGTTTTGAATTGAACAGATATGAGTTTAAATTCAAATAGGTTTGAAACTGTTTCAACAGATGCAGCAGTTAAAAACCTGTTCCGAAACTGCCTGGACAGTTTGGAATTCAAATCTGTCCGAAATTAAACCTGTTCGGGTTCAACAGAAAAAAACTGTTTGGACTGTTATAAAAGTTGTGGAATTTATCTGAAAGATATGAACAAAAAATTTGAATTTCAAATTCAAATTCGGAATTTAAATTCTCACAAATTATTTTTGAAAAAAATTCAAATGAATTTTGTCCAAAAAATTAATACAAGAACCGACCCGACCCACAACCCACACCCACGCCCGGCTCGGCCGGACGGACGACGGCGCGCGTGTGGTGGTTTGAGCTAAGGTTCACTTTGTCCATAACTCCCCCCTTCTACAAACTTGGGGTGCCCCTTGGGACCCAACGCAAGTATTGTAGGCTAGAGCTTATAAACTTAACAAAACTCTTTTCAAGTTTCAATGTGAGACAAGCCTCACAAGGAAACCCACATTCAAAACTTAAATGTCCAATTCCACGAACCCGAAAACGACGTCATGTTCCCATTCACTCATAAATGGTTTTGACGAACCGTCTTCACCGTGTGACTTGTCACGCGGCAAGGAACACTTCACCTCTTCGGATCTGCCCCAAAAGATGTTCGGGGCCCACTCAATTTTGGACTCAAAGTCGGCCCAAAATATGCCTATATTAACTATTTTTCCAACAATCCCCCACATGAATGGAATTTGACGGAGAGAAAATGCAACAACATGATCTAATTACAGAGAGTACAAAAATTGGAAATATTCTGCAAATGATAGGTAGCTTTTGGCTTTGAACCTTCCCTGGTGAGACACTATCGGGTTTACTAGCTAACCAGTGAACATGATGTCTTGAACTGTTCAGCCATTTGTGTAAACTAAGACAATAGAACTCACACAGTATATTCCCAGACACAGTTTAGTTCTCACTATTGTGTTCATTTTGGCCCTGAACAACCTGGTCTTTCATGAGTGCTCTAGAGAATTGTAGCCCTTCACAAATCTCATAGAACCGGCCCAGTTCACACTCATATAGGTGATTATTATGAAGAGTATCCTGCTATACTCCAGCTAAAACCTTTTAGCGTAAGAATAAACGCTGCAGACATCACTATTTCATCAAAGAAATTGGTAGGAGTTAGACTCCCTAGTGATCCTTCAGAGTCAATCACAACTCGGTTGTCCCTTTGAACCTAGATCTTGGGATCTCCAGTCAACTAGGTTGGGTTACCGTTGTGGTAACTCTTATTTAATAGGCTTAAGTCCTATTCCCCTCGATGAATTCTCAATTAACTCTCTTGCTAACCCTTTGGTTAGTGAATCCGCTATGTTGTCTTTAAACTTAACATATTCTATGGAAATAATTCCATTAGAGAGTAGTTGTCTCACGGTGTTATGTCGACGACGAATGTGTCGTGACTTACCGTTATACATATAACTCTGTGCTCTACCTATAGCTGATTGACTATCGCAATGTATGCAAAAAGCAGGCACCGATTTTGGCCAAATTGGAATATCTTCAAGGAAGTGGCGAAGCCATTCTGCCTCTTCCACTGCTTTGTCTAAAGCTATGAATTCTGATTCCATAGTAGACCTAGTAATGCAAGTCTGTTTGGAATATTTCCAAGATGCAACCGCCCCA